AAAAAAAAAAAAAAAGAAAAGAAAAGAAATTACCTTTATTAAAATTTTGAGAAAAAAAAAGAAAAATGAAGAAAAAAGACAAAAGTAATAGTTATTTTTCTTTTTCAACAACCAATATTTTTAATTAAACATTTGTATAACAGTTACAGGTGGAAAATAAGTCATCTAACGATTTTAGCAGATTATACAAATTGCAATTTCCCAGTTGCCTTATAATTACAAATCAGAAAAAAATTAAAAGCAAAATTTCTCATTTGTTTTCTCTTTACATTTTGGAAGTAGAAAAAAAAAACTGTTTAAAAGTAAACCCTCTTAAATTTATTACCATCTAAGCTTAAAAAACAAGATTCCTTCAACAAATTTACTTATCAACAACTGTTCACAACTATGCCCATTAACCTTTATTCGCTTCAGTTGATGTGTAATTTTATTTCCGCTTAATTGTAAACCACACTTCTTTGTTAAGATTTGTAAAATAAGTTTTAAAAAAAGATTTTTTTCTAGCTTTCAAGTTTTACCTTTTTTTTTTCTTAGAAACTTCTTCATTAATATTAATAATCAAATACAACAATTATAGTTTCAATATCATTTGTATCATTTAACGATAGCTAAATTTATAAAACTGTTACTGTTAATCATTTATTCTCATCAGCAAAATTGTGCAGTTTTTTAAAGTGATTTTAGAATTGCTAATAAAAAAATATTTACTGATAAAAACAATAAAAAGAGAGAAAAAAAAAAGATAAGAACGAAGCAAAAAAAAAACTCAATTTTTTAAGGCAAAACGATAAATTTACCTAACGCAAAGTATAGTATTACACAATTTTTTTTTTTTCGAGGAGAAGTACGTGCTTTAAAAGTATCATAGAAATATGCTTTTTTATGATCTATTTAAGGCCATTTTTAGTCAGAATTTTTTTTTTTTCTCGTCTCTGTTACAAATAAATATATTTAGCAAAGCAACACTTTAACATTGGTCTACTGTATAGGAACTGAGGTATAGAGAGGCTTCGCATAGCTAAGTCTAGATGTCATATATCGATCTACTTGCCTACATAAATACTTTTTTTTTCTTCTAATAGCATAATATCAATACTGCTGTTTAAAACCGACAAGAAAACAAATCATCTTACAGATGCCGAAAGAAAGCTCTATAAATTAGAAGAAAAAACAGGATTTAAAAATTACTAGTTACCTTGTGCGATTCCATTCTGTAGATACGGCAGTAACATTGCTGACAAAAGCTGTTGGCTCCGGTAGCATTACCGGTGCTACGTGATGTCCAACTGGGTCGAACAGTAGATCCGATGCATTTATCGGCGGATATGCAGTGAACAGTTTCTGTAACATTTAACACTTACAGATTTGCCCGTCAATTTAACATAAGAAACAAAAATAAGCATTAAAAAGAGAAAAAAATTAGTTAAAAAACTACTTTCTAACTTTATTTTTTTGACATATTAAATATATTGGATTTTTTATTTGATGCTTTCTAACTGTTCATTGAACAGTTAACACATTGTTCAAGTCATCATTAGTACCATCTAAGCTCCACAGACACACACAGAGACACACACAGAGACACACACAGACACACACACACACACACACACACACACACACACACACAAGACAAGAAGCTTTTCTACAATTCTAATAGTTTTTTTATAGCTTTCTTATATAACCCACATAAAAGTAACAAGAAATAAAATTTAAAAAAGATAGCTTTTCTTTACAACTCCTTGATTCTTTTCATTTTTTTAGTTTACCATAAGGTTTTTTTTGTGCTGCTGAACCGTTGAAAATATGCAAATTGATACTACTGCTGTGTTGATACATTGAATGCTACCACAATTCATTTGTCTCAAATCGCCACTACTGATCAAGACTACAATAACGGTAGAAAAAAAAAAGTGTTTTTCCTAATAAATTTACAGTTCAGTTGTATTGTTTTAAATAATACATGTATTTATCTGTTTGCTACAGTTTTCTTATTTTCCCTTTTCTTTTTTCTTTTTTTTTGCAGACAGATAATTATCTGTATTTGTTGCCAGTTGACGACAGCGGTAGCGGTAACAGCATCAGCTGCAGCACCAGTATCAACAGCAACAACAACAAAAAAAAAAAAAGAAACAGAAGAATTGGCAACGGTAACAGTAGCCGTAACAGCAATGTTATATAAAAAAATTTTTTACAAATATTTTTGTTCCAACAGAGTTTTTTTCAGCGAAATAACATTCATCGAACATCA